CGCCACATAACTTCATCGCACTTGGTGTATCAAAAAAGAGGCAAGAAAAACAAAGGAATGTAAATAAAAGAAAGCAATGGCAATTATTCACAATGCAACGTAACGCAACGCACAACGCAACGTAACGCAACGGAAACTGAACGTCGTAATATCGTATTTCGTTTTGTTGCTGGCTCTTATTAAGCTTCAGATAGATTCTCGAATTTCCATCGTACTCAACAATTGTACGTTCAAAGATGAAAGCAATTGGATGGTTCGTGCATAAATTATCCTTACTCGAAATTCAATCTGAAACTGCATATTCATCAGTAATAGTCAGTTATATTAGGTTATAACAGACACGTGCGTGGCCATTTCTTTTTCCAGTGTGTTTGTAACATTCAAAAAGTATCATTCAAGAATCCGAATTATTCCATTGGCGGATAATCAAGACTTTAAACGATCCATACCACGAACAATAGCGACTCGGTTAATTGAGATCTGTGTTTCCATTTTTCCTATATAAAGTAAAAGATTTGTCAAATCAATTAAGTCCACGAATCAGGAAGCAGAGACATCATATATCCTCGTTACCCAAAATAACATTAATCTTTTCAATAATTAATTATTTATTTTCTTAAACAAACAAATAATTCTTTTTCTATTTCCTTTTAATTGTTTATTTTAACGCTTTACTGAACGAGTTAATTTGACTTATAATGACTTGTATTGGCTACGCAAATATGTACCTTAACACTAAAACTACTGGACGGGTCAAATTGACCTATTTCAGAATTCCTAATTCGCAAGTATTTCAATTGTTAAGGCGTTTTCGCGGATGATTTAAAATTAAATTTGTATGCTTGTACAGACACAAAACTAGGAGACTTTTCGAATCTGAAGAAACGTATTGTCTGAATTTTTATAAAGAATTAGAAATAAGTCACTCTAATTGCTAGGTAGTTTCAGTGTTAATTATCTATTTTTAAACCTCTAATTTTCAAGATCTAAATGAACAGATATTAATTTATCTAAGACCGATGGAACAAACTATACGGTAAACGTCCGTAAATCTAGTGTTAACTTCTGAACGAGGATGTACCAGGAGGTATACATAAAACGCAACACGCGAGACACTATTAGCGATCGCTTCAGCGGGTTTCCGAAGCGTACCCAGGAAGCTGGGTTTCTTCCTTTAGAACGTTCCGAGCGAGAAACGCGAATGGGAACGTCTCGCATCTTTACAAGTTGCATCGAGGCCACTGAGCATGTTCGGTAAATCCAGTCGGCCTAGAAAATGGTATCCGGTATGGTACCTGGTCGGTAAACGATCACAGCTTCGCTGAAATTGTCGGTCCCCGATCGAAAGTGCGCACGGCGCACGCCGTGCGGCGTTCCTCAAAAACAGTGAGAGTCCGCAATAATGACCAGGTGTAACGCGGCTACTTTTACAATCTATTATCACTTGCGGTGACACTGACACTGCTCCGTGACTTTCGATTCCGGCGAACGGTCAATAAGAACGACCGTCTTCTTCGCGCTTGGGTTATCGACCTGCAGCCTAGACTATTCAAGTATCGTAAGTGGACTGCGTGTCTTTACTCAAACGTCCATTTCTTTTTCTAATTACTTCGCGTAAATGAGAATTAGATGGATTGTTATTTTGGTACGTTAGCTTTCGAACATTTGTTAGTCTTCAAGTGTTAATGTTCCAATTTCGAAACTTTCAAAAGCTGAGATTGAAAATAAGATCGAGAATTAAGAATTAAATTGTCGAAATTTTTGAATATTTTGAGATTAACAATTGAAAATTTCCAATTTATGATATTCGGTGTCTACTGATAAACTAGTGATATTAAGTAACGCCAGAACTATTCAAAAAAGCTATCGTTTAAATGACATCAATTCTATTTCCGAATGTCAAAAAATTCCTTTATCGAAACATTTCTTTCAAAAAGACGATCGAACGTTTCATGTAAATACACAAACCGGTTGATGATCCACAATTCACGCACCAAGCATTATTCCCTCCATCCAATCAACGTGATGGATCGATTTGCTCGTAGTTTCAGAACTACGCAGACTTTGCTGAATGACCTTTCATCCATTACAGTGGCCTTGCCCACCGAACAAATATATATATCTACCCGTCATTTAGGAATGCTTCGATCCGTCTTCCTGGTCTAATAAAGTCCTTAATCGCCGACGTTGATTACAGTGGACAGTATATTGATCCGCGCACGTAAATAATTGCATTAGTCAAAATGGCTTCTTCCTTGTTCTCCCTTGGTACAGTGTTTCCATTGCTCGACAAGAACACGAAGAAACTTAACAAATGATTTGATATGCGTGCAGCACCATAGAACTATGATGTTTAACTATGATACAAAAGTCATGCAACATGCGATGTTTGTAGCAGTACTCCGGTAATGATCAATTGTATATTCGTTTCTCCCCGTTACTAGAAACATGTGGTTCTTCGTTTTCCGTTAGTTCGGTGGATTTTCGCAAAGGAAATCTCAGTGAATGATCACCCATAGTGTTTATAATTCACCGGTGAATGCGAAAAATCTGTATCTGAAGTCAATAAATCTGACGCAGCTGAAGGCCGCGATGACCAAAGGGACACTTATCTGTTAGCGGACGGACACATTCATCCGATGAACCCGCCGGTATTCCGGGGTTAAGCATTTTAACACGTTGAAAGCCGCTTGATAAATCGATCCGAGCCACGAGATCGAGTCTCGTGCTGTTTTAAGTGGTTAATGCATTAGCCGCCACGAAAATCTTCAGCGAAAGATGAATAGGAAGAATTATTTATTATTACTTATTCATTATTTGACGTCACGTCCCTTGCATTAGACTGTTATCAACTTACTTGCGTTATTAGTAAAATACTGTTTTTAGTCAACAGTAACATTTTTACTCAGCACTGATCGTCTTACATACTACAATTGCTTTCAAGCAATTCAGAAGCAGTTATCAATAACTGTTATGGCAGTTAACGTATTAAATAATATTTCAATATCCAGTCTTTCGTTTGGTTCTCCGAACACTAGATTTACGAAAGGGATATTGAATTTTAGTATCATTATTTGGTTATTAAATGAAAAATTTAATGTTAAATAATGTATCAAGATGTAACACGTTGATATAAAAAAGAAATGGAATTTGAATTTAGGCTAAGTAGCTATACATGCTGTTGGAGAGGGCTTGTATAATGTGTCTGATCATTACTCGGTGTACCTATTTAAAGCAAATATCTATTTGCTAGATTGCAACATCAATCTTTTTGGAAATGAGACTTTATATGAATAAATAATGCTCTACATTTTTTATTTATTTTTCATTTAGAATCTCCTTCTTTCGTCTTATACCATGAGCTCGAATGATGACACTGGTTATATATTAAAATTGGACGAATAATTAACAATTTTCACTAATTTTTCCCCATTACTAGTTCTGCAATTTTTGCATAAATTTATGCAATTATAATACAAATCTACTTTTGTTTAAAATATTTTTTCATATACGTTAGTAAATATTACATAGGGAAAGTGTATGCACATTTGTCTCCTAAACATTAGACACGTAAAACTTTCTACAAATAACAATTCAACTGTATAGAATCACTTGTTTAAAACTGATTTTCAAGAATGTCCAAGACATGACATCAAACCAAGTAATAACCACAAACATTCAAACCTCAACCAGACATTTCACCAAAAAATTCATCAGAACCCACAACTGACATAACCTAATTTCCCGCGGCGCCCCACATCGCAATGATCCAAATCCATAGAAATCAAACGCGGCGCTTACCTCTTCGGTACAGGCACCCGCCTGTGCTTCCACACGTTGTCGTTCAGCATGGTGCCCTTCAAAACCGATTCTTCTCACTAGACAGCTACCAAACTGACTTCGGATCGTCAGATCCGAGACAATCGGACGCGACTCATTAACCGAAACCGAGTGCCAATGTCACGCGACAGGTGCATCCACCTTGCTCCCTCCAACCAAATCGAAAAATCTCCGAATCAGAGAAAAACCTCCCCAATCACTGTCAACTCCGACGGAATATTCCTACTTCCAGTTCGATCAGTGGCTTCCACAAGGATATTCACAATGTCGCTGACAGCCGAAACGTCGATCAAGTGTGCGTCTCACTGGGAAAAGTGTCCTGAATCGGGAATCGACGTTGACGTCCGAATTTTCCGATGGGATTCACGAGGTTGGACAGCTCGAAGGATTTTCGAGAAGAATCGAGGATTCGTTGGCCGGTATCTGTCATCGATCGACGATCGAAGCATGCGACAGGTGCCTGTGCGCGTGTGGCAGCGACCGACCCGTACGCACGGTCGGCTGGTCAGCACGCGACTGCTCGTGTCCGTCGAACGGCCGCTCGGATATTCCACGCGCGCGAGAACCGGCGCTCGTCGACGAGGAGACGACACGCGATACACTCTGCTCCGCGCCCGTTCCGTTACTCAGCCGGCCCGTAATGCGATTCTCTACTCCACATTCGACCGGCCGACGACGACGCTCCGTCCCCACCGACCTCTTTCGCCCGCGAGAAAGGCGCCACTTTCCTGGAACATCGGGAAGGTGCTCGACCTCGAACTTCAATTCGAGCACGGGCTCAGCCACCCAGACCCTACAGCTCCGGCAGCTCCCCGCTTGCGACAGTAGGTCAGAAAAGTATTACTCTCGGTTTTACCGGTGGCTTTTCGTAATGCGAGCAGTGATAGGGCCGAGCATGGTCTTTAGCATCTACAATTGAAGACAGCGTGGTCGTTGGGGAACCGTAGTGACGGTGGCCTATGAAGACATTTTATTTTTAACTTTGAAAAAGTATTATTCTGTTTTCTATCTTAATGACTTTCTCATTTTTTAATGGAATTCAAATTCAGTCTTAATATTCAGAAATAATGGCTAACCATTATGCAAATTAACATTGATTTGTAACCACCATTTGATAGGTCTGTATCGATGTAATCATTCGAGATTTTTCCTCGACGATGTTTGCATAATTGCGCGCGGCATAATTTTATTGGCTACTAATTACCTACTTTTTAATCTAATATGCGCAACAGGTGGAGTTTGGGCCTGTCGGCGTTTAATGAGAAGCAACATGCACGTGTATCATGGAACTTTTAATTAACCGCAAAGAAAACTCGTTCGGAACACTTGAAAACGGGATCAAAAATGTATCGCCAATAGATTAACGCAGCGTGTTATTGTCGATAGCGAGATAAACTTCATTTGCTCTTCGCAAACAACAGCGAGCTCTAGTGAATTTGAATATTTCAATTGAAAAAGACTGCGGGGTTAAGTTTTTCTTTTCATTAAATTTTAAATATTATTTAATGACTATTCATAATACTTCAATATTTTTAAGAATATTCCAAATATTATTATAATTAAATTTTTATTTTACTTAAAATTTAAAAAAATTTTAATTACTTTTACAACACCCTACATCTACTCTTTATTATCGAAAGTAGCAAAAATTAATTTATATCAGTCTCAAGGGCAGTAAATTTTACATACTCGATAAACAATAATTAGTCATTGAAAAGCAAACGATGGGGATTTTGGAGAATGAATATACATAAGCCAATAAACTTCTGGGAACACGTGTCAGCAAACAGTGATTTATTTCTTACGGTTTGAGCATCAAAATTTTTTCTAGATAATGACGTAACGTTAGTGACTTAACTTCTAGCATCCGTACATAATTTTTTTTCTGCTTTTTTTGTAACATGATGGTGCTAAATTTTCTGTTACTGCGCCGATCATTAGTACGCAAATATCAAACTGCTGAAATAATGATGTCGAGTTTTTATCAAACTTTAATGAATTAACAAGTAAGAAGCTCGAAGAACATCTTATATTTTTTCTTTATCGTTCTGAGAACAAATTTTTAATTGCATGTATTTCATTACAAAAAGTTACTAGAATCAAACTGGAGAAATCTCTTAACCCTTTGTCCTATGATTTGTCGAATTTAATTTAAAATTTTCACTACGTGTCTGACATGATATCACAAGGGGTTAATTGTCGTAATTTTCAAGTAACTGTTAAATATCTTAAGAAATTATTATTTTCTACTCAGTCTAGTTACCTCAGCAAGGTTAGTCGAGGAGAGGCGGCCAACTTTGTTTGTCACTAAAACTGCCAAGCACCACAAATTAACTTTACCAAATTTTCCTGCAACAACTCGAACAGTGCATCTACTGAGATATCCTTTGATTTATCATTCAGTTTGTGTATTACTAAATCAATTTCCAATGCAATAGTTAAATAGCCCTCTGTGCAAGCTTCAGTACACAACTAAAAACGATTGAAAATATAGACATTTGACAATCTAAATGAGATCTAGACATCTCACTCGTGGAACCAATTCACCTGGAATTACCCTATGCATGCGAGCAACCAGCTGTGCATCCAAGCCCTCGGTTATTGGTTCCGTAACTCCGTAGCTATTCGAATCAAAGGGAAAGGCCTGTGCACCGTAGGACGGTCCGTGCTCGCATGATCGCTCATACGTCCTCGTCTAGAATGATATTCTTGGTAATCCATCTCAAGTCCATCTTCGCCTTCAGCTAGAACGCTGGAAATATAGGCAACAAAACTAGTGTTGGAAATATAGGCAATAACACTCTAGATTTTCCTGTTTGATGAGGACATTGAAGATGAGGGCATTAAAGCAGGACATCGAAGTTCAGGTCCAGAGTATCCAAGTACTTCTAATCACGGTGCACGTTCCTTTTTCTCCAGTTAGAGACTTCTTCTCCGAAGCATCCCTTTTTTTCCTCATTCTTCCAGTAATCCCTAGGTGTATGCTAAATTTAGAGACCGATTAGAGCACAGAATCCTCTTCACTCAGGAAACGTTCATACGCAGTTTGAGTAACGATGAAGATTACTCTGATTTCATTTCGGTATAAATGTGCGAGATATAAGTCGACGATATATCGAATCAACGAAGAAATACATTAATTATCCACTGTGAGAAACTTGTTACTTTGTAAGAAGGGAAAAGGAATTCAACGTATTTCTGAGATCTGCAGATATTTCTTAAATCTTATGGACATATTCGGAGAATTTCAACAGTTTTATTTGAAATTATTTTCTAAGTCGAATCATTTATTCTCAATTAACATCGACCTTTCTTATAACAATGATAAAATTAATTACAAAATTAATCATGATAAAATAATAAAAATCCTAGATCAATTCCAAAATTAACGATTATAAAATAATAAACCTACTATATTAACTATAAAACTAATAATTAGAGTGACCATTAAATTAGTCACAGTAAAGCTGAAAATCTCACTCAAGGAACATTGGTTAAACTCGAAAAACAATTTCAACCTCCAATTTCAAAAAGTGTCCTCCGACAGCTTCGGTAAGAATAATATTAACTACGAGGCACAATCGTGTTTCCCAAAACTTCCTACTTGACGTAACCCCGTGGCTTCCGCGAGCTCATCCATAAACCACACGATGTTACGCAACGGCCGACCGCCAGGCAATTAAAACTACACCCACTGGAAACGGTGAATAAAGGGGAAGGAACGATCACCGTTGAAAGATAACCGATCCTTTCGGTGTACCTGGCCCTTCGTTGGCGTCCGATCTCGAGCGCGGCACCAGCCGCTCATCTAGACGCCGCAAACTTAATTAACTCGACGCGTCTGAAGCTACACCGGGCGTTGCTGCCGCTTCTTTCTTTTTTTCCTCCTCCGGATAGCTCACACCGTGAGAGAGCGACGGGGACCTGAACCTTCGCCTCTTGTGCTACGTAATAACCGCGATCCGGTGGAATTCAGTGGTTCTCACTTGAGGCGGAACCGTTCCCGAAAGTGCGACGACCCCACGACAGAGCCTCCGTCCAGGCCTGGTCACGAACATCTCAAATTGGTCGTAGAAATACCGCCCGCGGCCACGAGAATTTATTCCCAACAGGATAAGAATCTCGAACGCGACCGTTGCTGGACAAAGCCGAGAGGTCCCGAACTAGACACGGTCGAGCGTCGCGAACGGACTGCGGACGATTCGCGAGGGATAAAGGCGCTGTTCGTGTGCGATCTACGGTGAATTTAGTGTTATCACTTCCAGAATATCGTGAAATAGTTTGCCAGTTGCTCCGAATCAATTTTGTTCGTTTCAAAAGGGAAATTCAGGTATGCATGTTCGACGAGTATACAATAATATCAAAATGCAGGAAATTAGTTTATCTCTTATCACCCCAATAATATCGTGGAATGATTGCCAGTTGCTCCGAATCAATTTTGTTTATTTCGAAGAGGAAATTCAGTTATGCGTGTTGGGTAAGCGTAAAATAATATCAAAATATGGGAAATTTATTTATACATGCTCTACTGTTGCAATTGTTTTTAATTGGTAACCTTTGGCAGTGAGACTACCGTATATAAACTTTATTGCAAAACAACATGTCAATATAAGAAAAATATAATTTTACGTAAACCGGAAAGAAATTGATCTCACAAGCCTGATGATTTAGATCTTCTGAAAAGTATTATAAAATGCAAAAGGGGCTCGACCAAATATTAGTTATTAATACATTAATTGTATTTTTAGTATAACTTGTGTAGGTACGAATACTCTTGTGACTCACTGCGGATATCATTCAACGTTACAATCCTACCTCGCAAAAGCACCAGACGAATCAATGACAAACCCAACGAACTAAACTGACGACAACGAAGTACACCAATCTGTCTCTCCATCAATTTAATGAAACGAAAAAAATTGAATGCAACTAACAACAATAAAATATAGCAATCTTCATCCGCCACTTTGTTAATTTAATTCGCTAAAATCTCGCAAACCCGACCGCCGAACCAATTACCGGGCGCAAAACGAGCGCGCGAACGGTAACGGTCACGTTACGTACCCTTGATCCCCGCAGCACGCGAATCATTAAAATCATCGTGGTACGCCCGTCAGCCGACTCCCCGACGTTCAAATTGTATCGCACCTAATAATCATGGACTATAAAATGAAGACTTACCGAGCAATCAAGCCACGAATACAGGATACACACTTCCAGCGTCTCGCCGTAAAGGACACGCAAAGACAAAGAGTACAATGTAGATGCCATGCGATGGCAACGAAGATGGGCATTGGTGAGAATATCAATTTATCTCTGACACGTAATTTCCTCGGTTTTCGCCGAGCGGATCAGTAAAAAGACAGCCGTTAAAGGGGAATCTCATTTCTTTCGATGAAAAACATGAATATGCACTTCTCTTAGCAAAAACTATGAACGCCTCTTAGTTGAAACTTTAGCATTCGTTTTTACTATACTTCCATTAAGTTTCAAAGATATTTTCCATTTGATTTATTCGGAAATATAAATTTTACAGCTCATAGATGGAACTGCTCGGAAAATAATTAATTAGATAATAAGGTAAATAAGTTTAACTACAACTGCTAGCATGCCCTAATACTGGGAATGTAACTGTGACATATTGAAAGTGTACATAATTGCAAAGAATATGAAATCATTTTATAAAGTGTACATAAATAGAAATAATCTTCAGATTCTTGCAAAAATTTAATAACACAAAAAGAATGTTCGATACATTCGATATTTGATACTGTTTTCCACTGATACCTGGAAGAGGATGACGTCCTAGAAAAACCATCCCTAATTCCCAAGAATTTTGCTCACAAAACATTCTGTCCAAGAAAATGTTCACGTGGACAGTCAACAAACGAAGTTTACAAGCCTAGAGTTTAGCTACTGACCTGCACGCGGACGAGTTCTTGGAAAGAAGCGTTCCACGTAGGTCTGTTGACTGGCGTTTTAACACGATCGCGCGGATCGAGAGCGGTGTCCGAGCAGCCAACAACGCAATGCCGCGCCGCGGCCAGCTCCGATCGATCGGTCATGCTTAACCGAACGTATAATTGATCGCGGGACAACCGGGACGAGGAAGAGAAGGAGGAGGTGCACCAGCGGCGGCGTATCATTCAGGCTGGTTGCATCAGGAAATGCGCGGCAAACGCCGACGTTTGCCCGTGGTGTCGATCCGAGTTGGTAACGAGCTCTCGGGGATTGGCCCGTTGTCGGTTCGCCGAACAGGTAGGCTGAGTTTCCATAATACAGAATACTGTTTCTTTATTTACCTATTTAGTATTTTACTAAATAATTACTAGACTAGTGTTTTACTAGTATTTTACTGACTAATTATTAAATATTCAATACTTTACTAGTATTTCACTAAAAAATTACTGAATATTTAGTATTTTACTGATATTTTACTGAATAATCATTAATATTTATTATTTTACTAACATTTTACTATGTACCTATTATTTACTATTATACCTATTTACAGTGGATTTATGGAAATACAAGTATTATGATTACGTCTACCGGAAAGTTCTGTCCGCTTTTTAATTAAAAGAAAACAATAAATTTGCAATAGATTTATTAAAATTACCACTTCTCAGTATACTGGTAATTTGTGGATTCCATTTCTGTAGAATGACTCATCCTCGGAAACTTGAGATCGAGCAAAACTGTCCGGTAAACCTAATATTAAGGTTGCATAGGAAATGTTACGCCGTTTTAACCTATGAACTATCAATTTTACTTTAATAAATCTCTCATTGTGCGCGCAATAAAATCAAACAATGAAAATTAAACAATCAAATGCACCTATAATATATTCGAACGGTAAACTAAAGCGAAACGATGAAGAATTATATGTTCATCTGTAAAAAATAAATAATTGTTTGTTAAAAAAGTTAGTACTATTTTCCGTTTTAATATGACGTATACACTTGTCGAACGTAGTGGACTTTTACCTTGGTGGTCGCGGCTAAAGATGTAAGACGCGCATTTTATGTATTTACTATTTTGGTTAATACTAGGTTTACGGACATTTATTGGACATTTTATTCTATTATTCCTAGAAAAAATGAATGTTCGTTCATTTAGATCTTGGGGATTAGAGGTTTAAAAACAAACAATTATTATGATCATATAAATTATTATAGAATAAATATTCGTGCAATAACATCAATCAAAATCGATGTAAACGTTCACTCAAGAATGTTCATAAAATTCAATATGCGTTAAACTGACACGTCCTGTAAATCTGGTGTTAAAGTAGTTCTTTCCCATGTCAGGCTTGCAGCTTTAACTATTATCGTTCCCACCGGCAACTTTTTAGTAAAGGAACTATCGTAGTTCGAAACCAGTAATTTAAAGAGGCTATAGGCATTTTAAAAGTTTCTTTTAGATATCAAAGATATTTTTTAATAAACCGCTGTTCCTCACACGCAATTACACCTGTTTCATGTTACACGCTCTAATTACCCACGGTAATCAATGATTTCCTAGACTAATGAGCGTTATATCATGTGGGAGTTGACATCTGGGTCAGCGTTTAATAGTTGCGTAAATCCTTAAAACCGACTTCCTATTATTCGAAAGCGGAATTTCCAATGAAACTTTATTATTGGCGTTCATTAATTTTTAATGTCTACGGGTAAGATATCGAGTTCAGCTTGTATGGCCGAGTTCAGACGAGATATAGGAAGCTGGAAGCAAATAATTAAGGATACTTACTGTACCCTGGGATGAGCGTCTCGAAAGAAAATTGAAAGAATTATTTTCTATTAATTTCACTTATAGTTGATTCTAAATGTAACACAAATTGGTATAATCGATGTAATTAATTATTATTGGAATTAAATTCGTCACGAATGGGTTTTCTAAAGCCTAATTTGCTAATTTGCCGTGTATTAGGCACAATTGTGTTAAAAAATTTGATCGTTACTTATTAATAACGACATTTACACGGTATTATTGTACGCAATAAATAAACAGCGGATATTTACGCAAATTTACGTCTTTTAATCGCTGCTCAACAAATAATGGAACTGCACGAAGGTTTCTTACCTGAATGAATATTTTTACCGGATAAAGAAAAACATCGAATTTATGTCGCATTTAATTAAGATCTCTATCCCAATTACCATTATCCGATAGCATTTCTTATAAACGTGTTAAAAAAATCCTCGTTGCAGTAATTGACAAATTTTATTCACTCGTTATTTAATTTATTTTAATTAGCGCGAGATACGATGAAGAATTCTGTTCTCGATGATCATTAGCGTATACCATGAGCTCATCGGAGAAATTTTATAATAATTCACGCGTAAAGAATTAACGAGTCGATGGACAGAAAAAAAAATGGATTGCAAATAACGATACGAAGGTGACGCACTTAAATATATGTATATCCTTACATATACAGAGTGCCCCATTAACTCTGCTGCAATGTGATATGTCCGTTATTTTTTATGCTGCGCAAAGTATTTGAGACTCTAATTATTATCTTAATTTTCTCTCAACCCTTATGTTGACAACCAGAGTACCTGGATAACCAATTTAACACTTTTTTCTCACGCAATTTGGTTTTGTTCTCGTGAAAATTTAGCAAAATTCCTTTAAATTTCCATTTTTTTTTTTAACATTTTCACATCAATTTCCGACAAAATTCCTATGAATTCCCATTTTTCAATATTTTTACGTTGATTTCTGCTCCAAAGGTAAAGAAATCACTAAAAAATACTGTAACACTAAAATTTATATAAACGTAGACATTTTGGTCGCTAATATACCCATAGGTGAAGGCCATGCTCTACAAGATTTTAATAATGGAAGTACGCACACAACGCATCGTAACAGAATTATGTAATCGAACAGCACCCTGTGCATCCTAAATTCGTTTTAATTCGCCGCGAACGTTAAAGCATTTTGCACAATCGAGTAATCAAGTACATACTTTCCGTCGTAGATCACATTCTCGAATGTCATATTAATGTTAAGCGTCATCCCGATTCTTCTAATTAGTTGGGCATCAAACGGTGAATAATCTTGTATCGAAAGAGCTGCAGGTAAGATAAGCGATCGGTTTGTAATACCGGGAAAACATTGGAATACGCGGTTGAATTGTAAGAGGGAAAGACTGGTAGCCGGCGTAAGAAGTAATTGATGATGACACGTGGAAAAAGGCGAGGGTCGAAAATGAACCGTTAACGAGTTCACCGGCGATTACCGGGGTAACTAATAAACGACTGTAGACGGAAGAATGATAACAGTAATGAGGATGGATGACGCAGGAACGATGATCTCCATCGCGGCTAAACACTGGAAATATGTTGCATTGTTGCATATCATTTAGGCGATTCAATGTTGCCGGGAACACCGAAGTTCCGCCGTTTGCGAATAATTTTCCGCGGAATGGTCTGGGTTTATCTTAAATGTGGATCAAGCATCGTAACGATATCCAATTAACATGAAATTGATTATTTTTTCTGATGAAGCGATTCGAATGTTAATGTTTCCATAAAACGATCTTATGTGAAGGAGAACTCTTTATCAACGACGGTAAGATTTGTAATTAATTTCTTCGTCAGGGTATTAAGTAACACTTCTGCCTTCATAAATTAACTCTTTGATAGTTTGTGACTCGTAGTCATTTATCAATTTGTAGTTGTAAGGCAATTTTTCTTTTAACGTTTGAAAACGTAAGATTTTTATCTTTGTTGGTCAAGCGTTGATAGTTGTTGCACGAGTAAATTAAAAACAATCACTTTGTACTTATAGTGCTAATCGAATGTTACAAAACTGAATTACTCGTAAATCGTTTATTTCATGAAATGGTGATTTCCTGAAAAAATTTCCTTTTAAACCAATACGTATCATCTGTAATCAACGGATAACCAGTAGCAACCATTCCAATGATCGCAATATAGAGCCATGCATAATTATTTCGTAAAATCGAAAAGAATCCGTGTACAGTTAGTGACGTAAATTGAATTAAAAGAACCGCAGAGTGAACAATTTACAACACCTTTCACTGTAGCGACTGCTATCGCGAATGCGCTGCTCAATACATCACGCGTGATATTAAACCCCTCCATTTTACAGTAAATCACGCTGCCGTGGCAAGGACGAAACCCCGCGGGACGTGGAATAGATTTATGAACGCCTTTGAAATCAAAGGAGTTCTTGAACCTCAAAATTATGATAAATGGATCCTTTTGCGCGCGAAACTACATAATCGACGTAAATTGTAAGTTATGCTCGTCAATTGATTCACCGACACCCATATAGTCGAATTAACAGCTACCAATCCTGTAACATTGTTTTTACTGTTTTTACCTATAACGATAAAATAATTGCATTTGTTCTTGTACGATATAATAAAATCAATGGGGTTGCAAGGACAAGGTCCCAGGCATTATGTTCAAATACTTATAACATCGCACGAATCCTTGTATTATATCATTCAAATATTATATTATATTATATTATATTAAATCACATATGTTATTAACAAAATGGTATTTCTTAGAATTCAAATTAAATGCGTCCTTTCATAGTTAAGAATGGCGCAAGTTACATAAAATGATAGAGAAAATTGACGGATATAGAATACTATTGAGATAATAAATGTTTTCGTAGTTTCCTGAGAACGAATATTGAATTTAACATAAAATGCTACATTGGGTGTTGACTCATAGTTGCTTCTACCGCAAAAAACAACAATAATTATGAAATATCAGTGCGTAATAGTGATTGTCAGAAGAGTAACGACACCTGTCTCGAATCGACAATCATGTGTCTGCTTGTGACCGTCGAAGCAGCTCGTCTTGTTCACCGTCTCCGTGACACGTTCGACAATCACGTATTCACAGCAAACAATTTCGAAGTTCGAAGATCCGTTTATCGAACCTCACCACGTACCAAGCGAACAAACACCGTCGAACAAGTTAGCTGCCTGCCTATAGCGCCCTCTTGCGCGTATTTCTCTGTAGAATTTAAAATTGTACGAACCACATGAGAACCATGGCAACGTATAAAGTGGTAGTTCACATTTATCACAAAAATGTGTGTGTGTTTTAGATTCTCTAATCATTACAGTATAATAATATTATTTGTAATATGATACTACGGCAATATTGGCCCAAATAAATCATAATATAGCTTAATAACTTAATAAACAGCAGCATCAACAGCAGCAGCATCAACAACAACGACGACAATAATAATAGTAATAATAATAATAATAAGAAGAAGAAGAAGAAAAATGATAAACAATAACAATAATAAAGTCAAAGAAAAAAATAAATACCAACTCGAGCAAAGTGTGAAAAATAATCTCAATAGAAGTGACAAAAAGAAGACACACGTCCACGCTTGATCGATAACAGTCTAGCTGGCCAAAGAAGGCAAACCGATCGTTCCACGTGCAGCCATTCGCATGCCACCGATAAGAAACGTTCGACAGATAAAGCGAGCATCCGACGATCTCCGGTATCACGAATGAACCGGTCATCGTCTCGAGTGGCAACGGAGCGCGCGGTCATTGTTTCGGCGGACATCGCGGAAGAGCGATTATTCCTCGAAGGGGACGAATTAATAAGCGGCACATCGGGCTCGATTCGAGCCGGGCTCGATGGGAAACCTCGCCGGCCAGCGCTTCCTGCTCCTTGACAGTCAATACGTGACGGGATTTCGCTTCTAATAGCACCGCGGGGGGAGTTCAACGTAAAGTTCCACGAACCGCGCACACGTCTCCCCTTTTTTGTCCGCCTCCTACCCCTCGGGGCTCGCCGAATCGGCGAGCGGCCGCGCGCGACACGATGGTGTACGCGCATGTACGAATCTAAGGACATCTCAGACACATTCGAAATACCGCGGGGTATAAAGGCCTGCAAGACCTGTTTTCGTCCGATAGCCTACCGTCCGGAGGAATCCTGTCGCAAGGCTACATCGCCAGGAATAGACGACGCCCGAGACTACGCCGCTGCGACAGAAGCTCCACGGTTTTCGGTGATCACCCCTTCGAACGTGAGTGAACGTTTTTCATCGTTTTCATTGATCTTGGAATTACTCTAAATAAGATAAGTGTGATACAATTACTTACTTTACTGTTAACACATTGACTGTCACAAGATTTTCGAGCGTTTTCTGTAATATTACTTATTCCTCCGTAATTAACCCCTTGCCCTATAATATCGTGTCAGACTCCTAATCAAAATTTCAAACTGAATTTGATAAATTTAAATGTGTTATCTACTTGTCTTAAATACAAATGAAATATTTTTGTTTCTATTATCAATCGTTAACGTCTGAAGTGAATGTGAGTTCAGGGTAAATCAGGGTAAATGTTGTTAGAATCAATTGTTAATGATTAATTGGTACCATAGTTCTTAAGTTATATCGTTATTTAGTTACTTATGTAACTAAATATTTCTATTTGACATGAATTTTTTTATTGTAATTGCTTTCTAGCAATTTGGACACTTCGATTATTGGTGACCACCATGGCAGTCAATGTGTTAATGATTTATTAAACAATGAGGAAAATTGTGGGCATATTCTGTGTTTATATTTACTCTAAAGTATAATAGTTGATAACAGAAGAATAATATTTAATTCGAATTCAAATGAATTTAGTAACATTTGTGATTGTTGAATTGTGTTTGTGATCTTGAATGGTGTTGCGAAATTGTTTTAAATAATAATTTTAAGGCATGAGTAATACCTTTGATACCTTTGGTAAAAACAGTGTTAAGAGGAATTTGATTATTTTGTTGTGGAATATATATTGGCTTTTGGTAAAAAATGGTATGTTAAAATTGTGAATGTGAATTTTCATAGTGATTTCTAGAAAAAATTAAAACGTCCAATAAATATTAACTTTTGTTGTGTTTCGTAAGATTTAACAGATGATTCTTCTAAAAGTTTGTGCGTTGCGCGTTTCCTTCTTCATCTGTAATTTTCTAGAAACTGCGTCCCGAACATGTACGTTTGAAGAATCTCTCTTAAATAAAGAAGTGAATATATACGTTATCGAAGTAGTGACGGAAACATTGGTTTATACACTCATTCGCTTGCTATCGGAAGTCAAGTGTCAAGTAATCAGTATTAGAATACCATTCACACAAACATTTAGAAGCGAGGTTTTAAAGTTAAGATTGAATGTTTGTAACGTTATAAAAACCTTATGAATATTAAATTTTTTATTTACAAGGCGAATTAACGATTAAACGAGTTAAGGGCTTTAGCAAAAAGTTATAACAAAACCGCAAAGTAAATATAAATTTTGAAACCATCGAAGGTATTGTTGAAAATTGTAAAATAATATTATAATTATTAACTGTAAATTACATCTTGCAATGAATAACTATGAATAAATAGAAGTATATATAAGAAACATAAATGGCCTTGATCAAAATCTAAAGAAATGTATAAATAAGTACATCTAGAAAAAAAGATCATCTTCTGCGTTATTTATTCTTTGCAACTATCTATCTATCTCTATATGTATATATAAAATATTCTTATTCTTTTTATCTTATAAATGTCCCTTATATATCAGGAATATTTTCTGCTGCATCATTGCTAGTCAAGATAATTACTTATTGTGGCCCCTTTTACGCGACTTGCCCTCTGTAATTGATCGATAACGAAAGCCATCTCACGGATCATAAAATATTAATTTCGCGTAGCCAGTTTCCTCTATTTTCAGTCGCGGCAGAGCTTCCTAGCAAATGACAACTGCTTTGGTTACACGCCGCCGAGTTTTACTACCTCCGTTCATTGCATTAAGCGTATTTAGCAGCCGCAAATAGCTCAGACGGCAAATAATTACTGAACTGGCTTTATACGATCGTCACATAAGCCGCTCCGTGCATATCGTACAACGGTTATTCACTTTTTCCTGTTTCTTAAATACACTATTATTTAAAAATCCGTCCACTAACCTAGATCTTACCACATTAATGACCGGTGCCACGTAAACGCGCGTAACTTTACCAGCCAGGGGTTATCAACCAACATCTTGTATATGTAAATTCACTCTGCTAATAAGTTACCCACGGGACACCGTAATCGTATTTTTTCCCCCGACAAGGACCAATTAGAAGATTACATCATGAAATTTGAATAACTTTCCTCACATTTCTTTTTTATGTTACAATATTACAAAGACTTTATGCGTGATAATTATATCATCTTTCATGAAATATAAACATGTATTTCGGTGTCTTTTTAACATACATTTATGGTCTCTGTACGAAAAAATTATATAGGTATCTTTTAATCTTCCAAACAGTTCTTATTGCTAAGAGAATACAAATTTCAAATATCTATATACGCGAAACCATCAAAATAGTTGATTATGTTTCTTTCAAAAGGTTCTCCAGCGATGTTGTTGCCGCTGCTGTTGCTGCCTCTAGTGGCAGCCGCGCCATTGAATCCATCTTTGAAAAACTACGTCTTGGACATCGAAAACGGAATCCTCAAGAATGTCCAATACAGCAGCGACGCCTCCACGGAACTCGATTTGTCAAGCATGGGACTCCGAAGTCTCGAAAAGAACGCCCTGGACAACGTCTCTACCATACGATCCTTGAACCTAGCCAACAACTCTATAGAATCTCTACCGCAATTCATGTTCTCGAATCTGACGAACTTGGAGCAACTGAATCTAGCCGACAACAAGCTCACCACTTTAGAAAACCTCTTTGTGCGGTTAGACAAGCTTCAAATACTGAATATCTCTAACAATCCTGTGATGCATCTTCGTAGGGGACATATGTTTGGCTTGACTAAGTCCGCGACAATCCTAACAAAGAACAACGTCTTCTGGAGTATAAGCACTGGCGCGTTCGCTAACTCATTCCTAAAAACCGAGGAAGAACTAAAACAGCTGGAAAAAATGAAAGCTGAAGCCGACATCGAACAAACACACCAGGAAAAAGAGAAAGGGATGGACATGACCAAGGAGGAATCTTTGAAGATCGAATGCCCGCAGTCCAATAAAGTCATAAAACCAGGCCAAATGTTGAAACTGTGCATGTCTGACAAGACAGTGATTTCTATAGAGCCTTTAGACGATGGTGTGAAAATCGCTAAAGGAAGTTCGTGTCTAGAATTGCCGATAGACGAGAAGGAAAAAAAAGTGAGTCTACGGGGTCTAGGAATTAGAGGCTTCCAGGAGGGTTGGTACGATATGTCGTATTTGCCAATCGCTTCTCTGGACTTGTCCAATAATGACATAACTGAGATTACCAGGGAGATGCTGAACGACCTGCCAGCGGACTTGATTTACGTGAATCTCGCAGAGAACAGGATCAGAGGCATTTACAGCCAGGTGATCGAGAATAGACATTTGAGAATGTTGAACCTTAAGAATAATCTTATAGAGAACATCGAAGAAGGTGCTCTGCAGAAAACGAATCTGACTGGTTTATACGTTCTCGGTAATCAATTGGACAATTTATCTTTCGTAGCTAGTTTGCCTCAAACTCTGACGGAGCTGGTCGTTTCTAGTAATCACATAGCTTCGATCTCCGACAACGCTTTTTCGAATCTTCCTCGATTGGTCTACCTGAATCTAGCCAATAACAACATCAAAAAGCTTCAGAACAATGTCTTTCAAGGTTTAGAGTCCCTCCAGGTGCTGATAGTTACGAGGAACAGCTTGATGGAGATCGAACGCCAGGCGTTTAACAATCTGAAACAATTAACTACTCTGTATCTTCACCGCAACTCTTTGACCAAACTGCAGAAAGGTACATTCACTGAATTGGAGAGCCTGAAAGATCTGAACTTGGCTTGGAACAAATTTGAAGAGATCACCAAGGACACTTTCGCTTGTCTGCCGGAAACTTTGGACTTCTTACACGTTGACTTTAACGAAATAAGCAGTTTGGAAGCTGGCAGTTTCGTCAATGTTCCACGATTCACTTTATCGCTTACCGGGAACAAAATTTCGAGCATTCCAAAGGGGACTTTCGATCTTCCGACGCTCAGGGATCTTCATTTAAACAATAATACTTTGACGACTATCGATGGGGATAGTTACGAAGGTCTACCGCAATTGAAACGACTTTGGCTGACTGATAATCTAATCACGGTGATACCGAAAGGTTCGTGCAAGAATTTGGGCAGCTTGAATGTTCTCGACATCTCGAAGAATCCGTTCGGGAAGCTGGAGAATGGCGCTCTGTACGGACTCAGCACAGCAAGAGGCAATTTCTTATATGTTTATGACAATCAACTAAAAGAACTTCAGGCTGGAGTATTCGACGACGTCTAATTAGAAATCGATTTTTTCTGTTGGGACACGTGATCATCATAATACAGGAAGATTAGAAAACTACGTTACATTTATGAATCTTAAAACGTCTAATTCTTCTCCCGAAACGTTTTCCATTTCCCGTCCTTCTTCTTCTTCTTCTTCTTTTTTCTTTTTTTTGGTCATTTATTTTCGTCATTTGCGTAATTAGCAGCTCATTTACACCAAAAACTTATGTCGTAATTTGATATATGAAATATGTCAAAAATGACAGTGGTAATTGAATTTTCTTCCGCTTGTTCGTTTTAATATCTTAATAGTATCTTATTAATTGGTTCTCTCGTTCCGTATTTGTTTTATTATCCATTTGCTGAGAGATTATTGAATTTAATTATATCGTAACATCCTTTCGAAGATACATTCCAAGGAGCTTTAAAAGTGAATTTCCTTTCGTCTTAAAATGTTCACTTCCTGTACGATGTTAAGCTTTTAACGTTGAAAGTACCAGACGGTGAAAGTGGCTAGTTCTTTATTTTGTTACGAAGATAACATTTATTAAGATTTAATTCTCGATGAATACATCTTCATGATTCCTGTAATTTTTAAAGCAAGACGTCTGGACCGATTCGTGCCAAGCAGTCTGGTAGTTGCACTGTTAATCTTATCGAGCCCGTGTAATTATATTGTAAAATTCAGACGTACAAAAGTGACATGTCGTTCGAAGGAACCTAATACGTTCATTTGTTACGATATTATGATCTTGATAAATGATGATCTCTCACGGCTGCGATCTAATTGCTAATATACTTCACCCACACTAATAAAAAGTGTTACATAATTACTTCCGCGACACTTGGTAAACGTGTACTTACACAGAAACTCGTTTTGTCGTTGCGTTCATTATCACATCTTACCGTTTTATATATTATCGATTATGATTACTGGGTTTAATTAAACGAGTTACGCAGTACCTTGGAAGAATTGATTGCTCTTTACATATGGCTTTAGAGCCGCTGATGATCATTTTCATTCTCATTTTGGCGCGCAAGACGTGCAATCTATTACGATCATCTGTGATTCCAAATCAATTATAGTTCAAATATATACAAATTTATTTCAGTAAAAAATCATTCATTATTCTTGAATACCTTCACTTCATTCGAAAATGTGTTTATATGAAAATTCATTTCAACAAAAAATTATTCGTTATTCTCGAATAAGTTCAGTCGAAACTATTGTTCGATCCTTCATTCGAATAAAATTTTACCGGAAACATTTAGTTACGTGAAAATTCGAAACTATTGTTCGATCTCTGATTCGGACAAAGTTTCGTTGGAACAATTCTAATCAAATGAAATTCGGTTGAAGTAATGGCCGACTTCATTCCCACCATACCAGGATTCTAAATATACCGTTCATCCTACAACCGGCAACTACCATTTACCGACCACCGATACAAGAAAAGAAAAATGAATAGAAAAATGGGAAGTTTCTGATGAACGGTTAAAGTGTGTCGATCCTGTTCGGATCCGGTCGCATCTCCCTGTCCCAAGGTTCGCGTGAAAGTCAAGGCCGGCCGGTTGTAAACCGCAAGCATCGTGTTTATATGCTGTACATGTTATACATATACATACGTATGGAAAGGGTTGCAGTCACGTTCGGGAGAAAGCGAACGGGCAACCAGTTTATGAAAATCGCCGCGCGGCCACTGTCTCGACGGCTTTCTCGCGCAACCGAACCCCGAAGACCTTCATTATCATTCGACGGCGAAGTTCACGGCGGCGAAACCGTACGCGTCGTTCATTGGCGTTCTCCGATCTCCAACACGTTTCAAGGAACAAAGTATTTCACTCATTTTAGCACGTTGAATGCCGCAGGATTTCATAGAGCAAAATACGCAACATGAAACGAATGTAGTATTAAATCATTTGCTTGGACTGCATTATTATTATTACACGTTCGTCTAGCTGAATGTCACCGTATTAAGTAGCATTATTTATAATATAGAAATGTTTTTAATTAATCATTGTTTCATCGAGTAAATTATAATGATTCGATTTGGTTTGGAGTCACCGGTGACCTCCATGGCATCCAATGTTTTGACTCTTTGCAGACGTATTTGTATGTGATATATAAGATGAGCAGTATCATATTCGATTCATTAGATAAGAAACTCACTGATCGAATCAATTAGCTGCATATAATAAAAAGTAGAGAAAAATGAGGCAACAATTTCAACAAGTGGAAAACCAAGATGACGAAAATTCAATGTTTCACAATTACGACTGACTTGATGACAAAAAGTCGTAATTTGAATCTTGCAATATTTTCATGGAAAAAATATATGAAATGTATGCAGATACTAGAATGTCAGCCTTCAGGTGATGTTGCCGCAAAAAATGCTGGCCGGATGTGTTAATTTCCCTGCAATTAGCTCGATATTAGCGTCGATCTCGAATAGCTGTTCTTGACATTTACTTTCGAACATCCCGCCATTGTTAGTCAATCTGGTTGTCACTGGGATGATTTTACAGTTCGTCCCGAGTTTCCGATTTATTCCTCGGATAATATGGTATTATAGACACATATTTCTGATAACTTCATTATACAGTTGTGACAAAGAGTGAAGTAATAAATAACGGATTACTATAAATGAATTATTTATATAAAGGATCTTCAGCTTCTATGGTAATCTTTAACCTTGGTCCATAACGGTTTTAAAGATAAGGAAAGAAACTGTGATTAAAATGGAGAAGACAAACTATTAAAGATTTTTAATCGGGTGAGTTATATTCAAAAGCAATAAATTAATTGGGTGTAATAATGAATAAATAAATAAATAAATTGATTGATTTAAATAATAGTAAAATTATATAAAAAACGATAGAGTGAAAACCAGGCAAAACATATTAATATAAAAATGAAATTACACCTCTTTGCCAATTATATGACTAATTAAGATATCTGCATAAATAATATACATACAATTAATGAAAAAAAAAGGAAAAAGATATATGAAATCGATAAGAACAATAGAATATTAAAATAATAAATAATGAAACGGTGTACTCTAATTAAGTAGTCAATTATATAATTTGTCGACTTTTACATCTAGCTAACAAGTAAATCTTGAAGATGGCCGGAACCAGTACCAAACGTAGACAAAAACTGTTATACAACCGTCTAGAAAGGCTAACATAAGAATCCTTTAGTATGTCATTACCTAACTATTTGCCTAATGATTTTCTTATCTACAAGGAAGTTGTATCTTAAAATTAAAGGTAGGTGCCCATCGTATAATTTATTCGAACTCACAGTTTTCTTGTACTATGCATGATTTGAAAAGAAATGCATTGAAAAGTCTCGTATTGTGTCTGGAAACAAAACTACATATGTATTCTGTTCGCGAGATTGCTCACGTGATAATGGCATTATTCACGAAACCGACTTTCCCATCGATATTATTTATTGTTCCAACAGTGACAAAGACGCGCATTCTCACATACCAGCCATTTCTCGTTCCGTGGCGAAGGTCCCGAGCAATTTCGTGGCGCTGACACTGTGTACACCCGTGTTCTCCACTTCCGGTTTAGCAACGGTACCTCGTAGGGTTATCGAACGTGTGTATGCCAGAATTACCGTCCGACGTTCCGTAAACACACCGCGAGACAACAGGTGAGAATTTTTAGTCTACCGCTAGCGTAATCCGTCGGGCAGACCGTCTGCTCGTGTAATTTATCTAATCGAGAGCCTTCGGTGACGTGATGTCTGACATCGTAAGAGACGTCCCACAGTTCTTACAGCAGCCGATGATAAGTACATTCCTCATTTTTAATAGAAAATAAATAACACCCAGCGTGAGCTTCGCATCATACTCTTTATTAATCATTATTACGTAATCCACTTAGTTCGGTTAACATTTCGAAGCGAGAAATATTATTTGATGGATCGTCAAGTTTTGTTGTTATTTCAGAGGAAGCTAATTATTACTGTCGATTTTCGGGTAACTTATAACCGATAACACTGTGGAACAAATTTTCACCTTTGTTAGTTTTTGCAACAGCCACTATTTAATTCTTATAGAGTAACCGACCACCTAACCGACCCGCTAACCCCACCTAACAAGAGAAAATGGACTTACACGACTTTCAAAATAAACGGTCCATGTATACATATAAGAAGTGACCGGGGTCTAGGTCTATACAGCGCGTAGTCACGGCCCTGTATAGCTGTGGCCGGCGAGTGATGGCCGTGTGGCGCGAAAGTTCCGTTCGCGGACATTTTCTTACCCTGTCCCAAAGAAAAACCGATGTCACGCTTACCACGGGGGGTTCCTCTTTAGAAATGTCTGCAGAATCCAATGGTGCACAGCAAATTCGTGCTGGCCAACCCACTTTTCGTAGAAATGTAACAGAAGTGCATACAAAGTACGCGCATCTACCTTTTTTTAAACTTTGATCACGGGCAAGTCTCCTTTATTTTTTGCGACAAATTTTAACTGCATATCGTTTTTAGTTTTCACGTAACATTTGGTTTTCTGAACAATTCGACCGTTTCTACAAAATCCCAGTTTTTTCGAAAACTGGACCTGACCCAGCAATTTGGTTTTCGGATTCGTATTTAGGGTAAGGAACTCTATAAGAATTACATAGTGGCTATTGCAAAAACTAACATAGGTCAAAATTTGTTCCACAGTGTAATTAACGACTATTGAAATCGGTAATAACATTTGTTAACGAACTCTGCATTGAAAATGAAAAGAGACGATTGTTTTCAGAAAAGACTTCGCATTAACGTTATTTACGCAGTTACATTATTTTTGATCGATTTGCTTTTTCAGGCTCACCTCATTTCCGATTGTGTTACTATATAATTATAGAACACTCTGTATAATGCAACCACATAAATTCACTTCCTCCTTTTCACAGCGTATCCTGCAGAAACTACAAGAAGTTTGTCGTTCGTAAATTACAGGGTGGAATGTAGGCCACCGAATTCGGCAGCAAGAATAAAAGAAAAAGGTTGAATCCGGAATGAACCAATGAAAAGGTATCCTCTCGCAGGAGAAAGCTCGAAATGTCAAGTTTACTGACCTTCCCCTTTAAAAACGACCGAAATTTATGAGCGACGCATGCATATGTATATACGGCTTTCGGAACACAACAATTTCACAAATATATTCACCTTCGTAACATATACGAGACATTTATTAAATTTCTTAAAGATTCGCGACGGCGATCCTTTCGCAAATTTATTCGAATGAACCAAGAGCTTTCCAATAATATCCATAATAAAAACGAAACCCTCGAATCGTTCCGACATTTAATTACGTGCATTTCATGATGTCTCGAAATTTTATTACATTTTTAAACGAGAAAACCGTTTTTTTTTTTATTCAGATTCGATACTTTCAAACAAAAAATTCGTTTTAAGGCATGATAAAATTTCGAGACGTAAAAATATAAGTAATAAATAAAGGGAACTGTAATTTTATTGAATTTATCAATGATTGTCGTGGGCGATTTTTTTAACTGAATTAGTAATTTTGCTCTATTATTTTAAGACAGGCATTTAGCAATTATTTGTACATAAAAAATAGAAACCAGGAATTTTGTCAACATTCTGAATGTTCGTTAAAGTTAAAAGGATACGGTCCCGTTTATCGCAGACTACTTGGCAAAAAGCCTCGACATCTGAATACTTTTGAATTCGTTCCTGAAAAATTGCCTTGGCCTGTTTTATATAGATTAACAACGAAATTGCTATCCTAAATGAATATTTATAACATAGCTCGTAATGAAGTCAGTGGAACACATTATACACTACGAATCTAAATTCATAGAAATCTAAGGCTGGTGAAAGTATCGGACAATAATAAATGATTATAATGATGAATTTAATTTCGGCCGAAGTCAATGCTTCCGTTTTAGACGTTAATGACAAATTTTGCGGTTCAGTTTTTGTTTCGGACATTTGAAACGGTGTTTTGTGCGACTTACATAAACATCTACTAATTGTAACAGCTTTCGCCGTTTACAGTTGAATTTTGATAAGATTAGCACCGCAAGATACAACTGTAAATACATTATCTGAGTAATGCAAGGAAAGACTTACAATTACTCTTGAAGACATGCTATGTAATCTAAAAATAATATTTTTCATAATATTTATCTCTCTGAAAGAAGGTCATATAAGATAAATATTTTATGTTTGTCACCGTATATCATGATACCTGTTTATATTCTGGAAATGAAAATCTAAAAATAATATTCCTTGAAGATACAGGCGAAATTCTGCAATTACAAAAAACCTAATCTTTTATCAAATCAATATTTAACTTTCTTCAAACAATTTTAAGTAATCTATATTTGGAATATTTATATTTATATTTGTATTTAAGAAGTAATGTAAATTAATGGAATTATATAGTTATACTCATTTTAAACTCTAAAGTATATTGAATCTGTACTTTTGTAGCGTATAAAACATTCTGCAAACAATACATTTTAACTGCAGTAAGTACTTTTCATGGGCAGAATTAAGATTCTAATTAATGCTTCAGATTAGTAGGTAATTTTAGCGATTAGCGATTCAGGGTTAATAAGAAATTAACTTTCTTGAAATCATACTGCATAACATATTTCTATTCTTAATTACTAGACCGTGCTGTTCACAAAGATCGTACGCGTGCTTACGCGAATTTCAATTACCAGTAAGACCAGCACACTAGCGTTTAATAAATACGCACACTGCTCGCGCATCAGTCATTGAAATCACCGTTACTGCGCTATATGAGGCAAATCATTAATTATGATTAACAGACTCTACTGGAAATTAAGCGTACAGTGGAAATCTAAGTCATTGTTTTTAAATTACAAGTGTATTATAATAATCACTCATGTTAGGTTGCAAAAATAATAAAATTTACTATAAATTGATACATAATAAAATAATAAAACACGTAATCGTCGTTAAAAATTGATTAAAATCGATGAAATTGGAGAATGAAAGTTTGAACAACAACCAATTGGTTATTCTCAATTGATTATCTCTTTAACAATAATCGATTTGCTGTTCCTTATTAAAGACTATTCATTCATTATATCTATTCATTTCTTTAGACTATTCATATAAGAATAATATGTTTGCAAAAGACATGTTAGCTATGTAGATATAACGTTCTTCATGTTGTTCACTTAAATGAACTTGTAATGCTAATTGCACAATTCCAAATTATAAAATACGTACACAAATAGCCGCAATGATTCGCAAGGTTCCTCTAGAACCGATACAAATGAAAAGTTGTCGTCCTTTAACGCGAAACATGAAACTGCTTGCAAAACTGCCGCCCGGTATTTCTGTACCAGCAAAACTGGACTGAGGTTTGAATTACGCCAGACATCGTGTCGAACGATTCCTGTGATCGTAATGCATGATGGACAGCAAGCTTGATGAAACATGCTTCCGACATTTATTTCGAACGATAAGATTACGAAATCCCGTTTAACGAGCAAAAAACGTCACCGCAAATCTTCTTTTCTTATCACGCCCGAAAATCAAAAATTAAATCAAACACATCATCTATTATAACCAAAGATGCTTATCGGAATGATTAAAAATGTGGAAATAATTCAAAATGTACATTAATCAAATAATTGTTCCAAAATTTATATCCACGTGAAATATCCACGTTTCCAGTTACAAATGAAGATTTTATATTGCATTATTAAAAATTGCTAAATTTGTTAAAATCAATTTTCATACGTAATTTATATACTTATATCTGTTTTAGAATAATGTGCTTGACATTTTATAATACGAGATTAATTTCTCATGTATTTTTGAAATTAGTTATTTTTCGAGCATTGTTTCACAATTTTAATTACCAATCCGAACTTTTCAATTTTAAATCATCGCCAATTGTTCAAAAATACACGGCAATACGGCAGAAATTTTTGCACAAATCAAGTGAAAGATGCAAAGGTAGCTTTTCGTGTTTCGGCGTGTCACTAACATGAATTTTCGCAATCGCTTCCGCATTCTTTGATCGTGTACCATGGTGTTAAGTTACGCGTAGCAAAAGTTCACCTTTTTACGATAATTAATCGTAGATAATGAAGACACTGACACGATAAATCATAGATGGAACATAATTATGTCGCAACGCAACATAAGCGTTAATTAATATAGCAGTTTGCGATTACTTCCGTGTCTTGCAACGGTGAGTAAAGCTGTTCCCATTTGTGCAAAAATATCCGCCGAAGGAATTAGATTTTGCCAGAGATTGGCTGTAAAATTATAATATCTATAATTTCTCATATAGTTGGTCATTTTCAGATCAATTCCAGTTATATAGTTAATATGATAATTTCATTTTATTACGACTACATTGCACACCAGAAAAGCAACTTTTCTGAATAAATATGTAACAGTATTCTTTATACCTTAATATAATGAAATAATTGCAAATACTATAATATTTTTTCTAATATTCTTATTAAATAAATCAATAAATGTATATCGATGAAAAAGAAATCGACTATATACTTATTAAGTGTTAAATAAAAAGATTCCGTACATTTAAAATGTAATATAGAATCGATTAAAATATTACCAAATTCTGTTTAAATAAAAAACCTCAAGACATTCCAACATATTTTTGTAAATTAGGCGATTTATATTGTTGACAATGACGAAAGCTCTCGATCCTTGAGTTCAATTCCCAGGCGAATGTTTGAAACTCGACTCAACATGATTCAATTTCACTTTTAAACACGATTCCGAAAGTAATTCTAGTACATAACATTCTGGATGTTAGTTCGCGTGTTAGGTGACATTAAAAATCATATTATAGATCGACTTTCGAAGAAACACAACACCGCACAGTGCCAAAGGATTATTTACTGAAAATGTTTTTTAAAGCTATTTATAGCATGCACGATTGTGTAAAATTAGTATAACTTGCTTCTCGTTCAATTTGAAACTGTAAAAAGATGATAAACAAATTTTTATCTGATTCTATTTTCTATAAATTAACGAAATACTTACTTCTCTGTGAACAATGTAATGTAATCTAATTATTTATTGAAGTAATATTTCCTCTAAATGTCTCTGATCTTCTATTGTAAACATTTGTTTAATGGAATCACTTAATAAAATTATCACTATAATGAGAATATTCTCGAATGTTTGAAAATGTTATGTATACGAATCCTAATAAATAAAGTATAATTTGGATCTTTGTATTCAGTTTTATTTACAATACTTGTTTCTTTTCTTTACATATGTGATTGAAAGTATGATTTTAAAGTATATTATATAAGAGTGAATGCATAATATACAATTATAATGTGTAATTAAATTTTGTATGGTTTTGACTGGTTATTATGGAAATAATATTTAAAAAATTTTAAGTATATTCTCAACCTGTATAAAATTAAGATAGAAATATTTCCTGTATGAATACTAACTATGAAATATTAAATTCACATTTCATCATTATTGTAAAACAAGCATGCTTTTCAGTTTATTTGAATGGGATATCATACCATTCAAATACTTAACAAACTCAATGGTATTCAAAGAATCTGATTCATACAAAATTTATATCGTGTAGAATATTGATAGCAAATTATCACATAGTGATGCTATACAGAAACACGTCAATTGTAATCTGTACATATTCATGGAGGTTCTGAATTGTGTGTGTTATCATTCAACAACACTAAATTAGATGACGCTTCATCTTCAAATATGCCCTCATCTACTTCATCATCTGAACTGGTAAGCTCCTCAGGATATTTATGACTGTTACTCAACTGACTAGAAGGTACCACTTGCTCCTAATATTCAACACGTAAGCTTTAATTTAGTTTAAATGCATTGTATAAATATTGACTAACTAAGCATAAGATATATCATTAAACTAAAGAAATGTTACCTTTTTAGCAACAATGTATGTACCTTAGATTCACTGTTTATGTCCTGCAATGAAATGTCAGTTTCATAATCGAACATATCTTCTTCTAATTCTTCTACCGGATGAAGTGATATATGCGCAATGTCTTCATTAAAATTCACAGACAGTTCTGGTTCATCTATAAGATCATACAAATGCATGTAGCTTGTTATTATACTAACGCTTACAATACAAATTAATGCATTGTAAACATTTAACTTGCGTCTATTCTAATCCCTTACTGAGTGGATCGTCTGTACGATTATCCAAATTACGATACTCCATTAATCTACTGTTATTATTACTAGTATCAGACCTACAATGAATTAGCTCAGGGTTATTCCCATTTTGCAGTTCATCCATATTTGTTACTCAGTTCGGTTGACAGACTGCTCAAAACTAGATGGTCTGCGAAATGTCCATACACGCTAAAACATTAACACAGTTATTGGACATTTATGTCACGGGTGATCAATTAATAATTGAATGAGGCGTGGCGCATTAAATTTACGTAAAAGGATCACTTAAACACGGATTAAGAAGATTTACTTTGAATTGTTATATCTAGCTGTTGCAAGACAGCAATGAATATTTCGTGATGACAAGAATCTCGTGGATCCTTTTTCTCCTTCAAAATTCATCATCTCGCGTTGATGACTCCGATTAGATTGACGATATCAAAATTCTTCGTCCTTTGCTCTGTTATCGTTTAAAATTCATTCATCTATCAACATTTATTTTTTCATAGAATTGTGAAATCTAAAATGTGCTAAGTCATGATCAACGCCGCGACATATTCACCGAACATGAAGCTCACCTTCAACGAAACAACGTATTCGTGATTCGAACAATGTGGAATAATAGGAACTGTATTCAGAAACCGTTCACACTATTCACACAGAAAATCAAAACACAATAATGTAACACAGAACGAAAATAAAATCACACGTTTAACGATGTAACAGTCACTTACACAATATGAACCTCAACGAGCGGCTTACGCATGCGCTACGCGAAATATAGTCACTGACAAGATACAAGAATAGACTAAACACTTTATAGATTTTTCCAGTACAAATCAGACTACTTTACCGACTACAATTTCTTAATTGATTATGACGTCTCCTTTTAATAGACAATGCCAATTAATTAATCATTGAATCAGTATGGGAAGCTAAAGGAAATATACAATTCATTCGTTACAATAGTTCCTAGCAAGTTCTTTTGATTATTTCGTATAAAAAACTACTATGATAAATTTAAAGATACTAAGTAACACTAATTATTATTTATAAATGTGACACAGTAAAAGTGAAATTGATTTATTTTCAAAAAATTTGCATCTCGATTTGCATGAAAAAATAATGAAAAGACTGTTGAATTTTACATTTGAAAAAGTATTTGTTATAATTTTTAAACAAGAAGTAACAGATTTATTGATAAATCGATTTTTGATTCGCTGAATCCATCGATCAATAGTTGTACATAACGTTCTGCGCAACAGAATAGTGAAGGGGGGGTACAGTGGAAAGTATCTACTAAGAGTGGGGAGAACACAGGATAATAAAAGAAGATGAAGCTCGCATAAAATCTTCAATTTACCTGGAGCGTTTGAAGTAAGAAATTGTTCTACTATTACATGGGTATTGAAATTTCTTGCAGTAGTGTAGTAAATCTTCGTTCTTCATTTTCAAAAATTTTCTGTGTATATGCAAGTAATTTCTCTTTATACAATTAAGACCTCGAAAAGAAATTTAATTTCAGTTTTAAAATTAAGTTGTTCAAAAAGTAAAGCTGTAATTTTAATTTTCAGAATTAATATAATATAATAATAATTAATAGTTAATAACTATACATGCTTCTTAAATCTGAAAATTTTGTTTAATCGCTTAACAGGTTCATTAAATTAACAATAAATGATGAATGCTATCGATCTTGATTATATCCTTTTATTACGCAAAATTTTACATATTGATACATACTATAAATGCACAAAATTTGCAGTCTAGTACTAAAATTGTTCAACAAGTTGGTAGAGCGAAATATTGAATGAAATTGAATACAAAGTCTATTTTATTTTAAACCTGCCAAGACCCTCAATAGCATAAACAAATTTTTGTTTGAATTTAATAGTATATTAATCCGTGAAAATCAATAACATTAGCGTTAACAAAGATGATCATTGAAATAAACGTAAAGATAAACATTAAACTTAATGATAACAAACAGTATTTATAGGTTTTTAAATATATTTATTATTTGGAAAGAGAAAAACGTAAAAAACTGTAGTTGCCTCTAACTCATTCGTGTGCCCTCGTTAATGATACAAAACTAGTTGCTTGTTTTAATTAACCTTCAACGCTGAAATACCCGAAATATATGATTACCTACGCATCATAAAAAATCAAAACCGTACTTATTTATGACATAAATTATTTCAAATTAAACAACATAATAACTTTTATTCATTTAAAATTGTTGGTTGCTGGATAATGTTACAGTGACATTATAATAATGTCAATTTTTCTTATTTAAATGTACAGAATGTTACATTTGAAAATACACTCCAATTAACTAATTTATTTTTTTTTTAATTTTCCAACTTAACAAATTCGTGATATTTTTCCTTCATGTTTATAGTGCACAAAATGTTTCCAATAAAATGTTTCAGAATAATAATCGTGTATTAATAGCATATACCTTATTGCGAGTTAAAAACACTATGTTTACATTTATATCGATCTCTACATTATAATTACATTAGCGATAATCATTACGAATCGAAGGGCTGAATGGAAAATAAAAAGAAAGCGTTCACGTAATATCTAGTCTAACCAATAATCTTGTCGCTTTATTAATCGTGAAAAAAATATATGTATACGTATGTAGTACATAGAAATACAGCATAATGAAATAGCTATACCATAAACAATTTAGAATAGTTTTAAAGAGTGTGACACAAACCGAGTATCTAAGTACATATAGTCAAAAGCTACCCGAATATACGTTGTGATCAAATTCGATTGAGCTCTACAATCGAATAATCAAAATTTATTTCCGTCCAAACAACAAAAATCTTTTACAATTTGTTCAATAAGACCTGACGAAAAATGTTCATATATAATAAAACATTCGAAGACTCTCTTGGCCACATTCATCTACAACGTATCGAATTTCTCATGTTTCGAATGAGTCTGTTGCCAATTATAATAAAAAAAGTTGTTTCGAAACAATCACAGATTTATTTCTGTCTCGCCCGTTTTCCCTTTATGTATGTAGCCATTATCACGCAAAGAAGAGGAAAATAACGAAAATTAATGCGCTTACTCCGATGCTGGTATGTTAGTTCAAAAAATATCACTGGTACGATAGAAAATTTTACGATATCACCGCAGCTACATAGTTTCTTTTCTTCTTTTTTTTATTGTTATCTTATCTCTTTTTTTTATACCAAAGTAGCACGATCAACCAAAACGAAACGCAGGCGTGGCCCCGTTGTATCGTTAGGATGATTACATGACGAAGTTAACGAAACACTTTTAATCTTTGCTACCCTCTAACCGAATCGGCTTTTCTTGTTCGATGTACAAGTTGCATTTGTTGCAATCGAAGCTCGTAAGAATGCGAAATTTGAAAGGAACGAGTGCAATGGTATCCCGTTTGATTGCGTGAACCCGTCGCGTGTACTCCAGGATGAACGTCTCTTCTTTTTATAACGTTATACTCGACCGGGTGCAACGGTCCACACCCGATCCGACGTGACGAACGTGGAATTAGCAAGCGCAGTCACAGGCGCAACGACGGACGCGTTTCTCGCGGCGGTGGGTGAACGCTTCCGGAATGGATCGCACTGAACGTGGTTGCACATCTATGGACAACAAAGAAACCGATTATAAATTGATATTTCAGATATAAATTAATTTTTTTAATTCATATTTTTGTACACTAAGTTTTAATATATTATTCTTCATTTCGTTACTAACCCCCCTTGTCATAGGGTAAATACGTATACAGTGTCAGTCTAGTGAGGAAGATTTTAAACGGGAGTTAACAGCATTATATAAATGCCACTCAATTGTTTTGAGTTCAAATTGAGTATCATTTTTCTGTTATCAATTGTCATGCTTTGAAGTAAATGTTAATGTAGATGAGCATAGAATTCTTGTTTGTTTCTAGTAAATTACTAATGATAAAATAATTCTAGTGAAGGAGACACTGCGTCCGAGCTTGAAAATTAAATTTTGCAGAAATGTGCATCAAGAAAACCAAATTTTATTGCAAAGTTGAAAGCGTAATCACAGCTGCAGCATAAAAATATGCGTTGGACAGTAAAATTAAATGGTACATGAAAAAAAATTGATTTGATTTTGATTGTTGTGTAATTGAATATTTATAGGTATACAATTTTAAGTATACTCACAGTGCGGGCGGCTTTCTTCTTCCGGTTCCTGTGGTTGCTGTTGCTGTTGCTGCTGCTGCTGTTGCTGCTGTTGCATTTGTTGATGCTGTTGTTGTTGTATCATCATATGAGTCTGTTGCTGTTCCTGTTGTCGTTGCTCTGATTCTTGCTCGGAACTCTGACCGTCAGTCACTTCAGCACGAGCTTCAACTGGTATTTCCAAAGATTCCACGGGTCTCAACGGAAGAGCAAATCTTGGAATGGCGAAAGAATTCGCGTCAACAACCTGTAAACAGAAAAAGGAGAAAATTAGATATACTGAAAGTTTTAAACTTCTAAAATTTCTTTACACGCAAGAAACTGAATTATGCATCGAAATCTTAAGTATTAAGAAAGAAGAAAATTACACATTAATCTCTAATTATTTTTATAATTGAATTATTCAATTGCAACTTTCGATTTTGGGTATCAAATCTCGAAGTCACCATTAAGATGGCATTCAATTACGGTGAATTAACTCTCGCAGTACCTTGCCTGGATCCGTTCAGACCCTGAGCTGATGACTGTCATTTCTTTTAAAATTTTTGCGTTGTTCAATACTTTAATTAACATATCATTCTTTAGCAATAAAAAGGGAGCGATAAAATAACAAGATACAAGTTTAATATGTTTGTGTAAGAAAAGTGGTGAACTATATGGTCACTAGAATCGTTTTCAGTGAGGGCTAATAATGCTACAACATTAATATAAGCTAAATGAAGATTTCATATAAAGAAAAAAAAACTGGCAGCGGTGGGATTCGAACCCACGCCTCCGAAGAGACTGGTGCCTTAAACCAGCGCCTTAGACCGCTCGGCCACGCTACCTGTTACTCTCCGGCTGATGGATTTCGAATCCCGAGGTTCTCGTTTGTTTCTATGCAATAATATTTATAATACACGATAAATTCAGTGATAACTTAACATATTAAAGTATTCATAAAAAAAAAGTGGCAGCGGTGGGATTCGAACCCACGCCTCCGAAGAGACTGGTGCCTTAAACCAGCGCCTTAGACCGCTCGGCCACGCTACCTGTTACCCTCCGGCTGATGAGATTTCGAATGCCGAGATTCTCATTTGTTTTTATACTATAATATTTATAATACACTATAAATTCAATGATAATTCAACAAATTAAAAAATTTATAAAATAAAATTTCACTGTGTACTGAAATAATACTACTATATAACTGTTAAATAGCAGCAATATTAGATTACGTTGTAAACATTTAACCCTTTGCACTCCATAGGCTCCTCTCAGTCGCCACTCGATTTGGCACAGAAAAGTTATGGAGTATAATATTTAATGTCATGTTTCGTGTGATGTTCATTAATATGTGAAATATTAAAAGAAAACAGCCTCTTTCTTCAATTTATGTACGATTTTTCGTGAAGCCAGTTTCAAGAAATGTTAATTATATTCCATCGGAAAGTGTTGGGTATTTTTGGTAGAAAACTCTTGGAGTGTACAGGGTTAAAGGCTACACAGTAAGCAATATTGCAGAAATATTGTGGTTATATATTGTGTTGAGATTTAAATATTAATTAAATGAGACTTTTATATATCGTTTAAATATAGTCCCATTTCAAGTCAATTTTCGATAATTGATTTCTTTTTTAACTGTATTTAGAAATATATTAATCGATGAATACCTGGTGGATTATATTACGAATTTCCGCTGGTACAGGGAAGTTCCTCTCCTCTTCGCTTTCGTCTTCTGATTCAGAGAAAGATTTACCTTCCTGTTGTTCGTTCGACCCATCTGGCCTCTGGCGACCTTCGATGTTTCCATGTTCCAATAGATTTCGCACCTCTATGGGAAGTGGAAGTCCCAAAGGAATGGGTTGTGCTCCTTCGGGGAACGGTTTGAATTCTTGAACGTTCTAAAATTATTATTATTAAAATAATTAAGATAGGTATTACATAAGATAGGCATTAAATTAAAGTAAAAGTGCATTTTAATTCAAGTAAACCTGGAAGAACTGTATTTACGACTAAAAGATCCTTGATACCAGAAACAAAGTAAAAGTCTCATAAACTCTTTTCTCTCCATTACATGATAGACTATGTTAAACTGAACGTGTAAAGTAGCTCGTTTAATCTACCATACATCCAAAATTTCAATCATATTCTCGAAACCCAAAGAACTACTTATCTACCAAAAACTGTGCTAACTCCCTAGGCATAGCAACTAGCACTAGGTCAATCCAATTACCTCGCGGCGAGCACCATCTGGCACCTGCGCAGGAACTGGTCTCGCTTCTCCAGTGATGTGCTGGATGATATTTTTGATCTCCAAAGGCACTTGCTGGATGATCCTACGGATTTCGAACGGAATTCCTTGGAACGGTGAACGTACTCGCTCAGGAATCTGAGGCTGCGGCTGTGGCTGAGGCTGAGGTTGTGGCTGAGGTGGCATTTGAGGTGGCATTTGAGGTGGCATTTGAGGTGGCATCTGAGGTGGCATCTGAGGTGGCATCTGAGGTGGCATCTGAGGCTGCATCTGCGGTTGCACCTGAGGTTGAACTTGGGGTGGTCGTTGCTCGGTCTGCGGGATCATCATGTGCGGGATAACCCTCTGTTCGTGAACTTGGGCTTCTGACTGTGGAACTGGAGGAGGCATCATGGCTGGACCTTGTTCTGGACCGTATACACCAGGATTCTGCTCAACTTGATGGAACATTATCTGAGGCTCCTGGGGCATCGGGGGTCGCATACCTCTCACAGGGTTCACTGGGTAGTGGCGGAGTTCGATGGGAATACGGCGCACTTCAATCTAAAGAAAATTGTATTTTAATCACAACGAATGTTGCTATCTTGTTATCAGGAAAGAAGTTCTATATAGTTATTATTCTGTTATTGTTTTGCATCATAATGCGTTTAATTTGTGGATAAGTGACTGAGCTTATTTGAAATTGCATACACCTCCATCTGAAGGAAATGTTATTAGAAGAAATCGTTATGGTCGTTGTTTGATTGGGTATTTCCAGAATTATTATTTATTCGCTATATTTTTATAATTCAGTATTTAGCAGTTTAATATATTGAGAATTTAAAAATCTTTCAAAATGTTATTACTGCCAACGTACTTGCGGTCCCAGCGGTTGATTTTGAGGTCCCATCATTGGTCCTTGCGGTCCCACTCGCGGTGGCCTCATTTCGGTATTTATTTGAGGAATTTGTCGCAGTTCAGGGGGAAGTATGCCGGGCGGGATGTGGTTCAACCCACGCGGATCGCTCAGAGGCAACTGTTGCATGTCAGGAACTTGATACTGAGTGTGCACTTGGTATTGGTGGTAGCCTGGGTTGACATCCTGAGACTGAAGAGGTACTTGGACAGTTCCCAGAGGGATGATGATCGGGGTAAGCATCTCTTGTTCTTGTTGTCTGAAAATAAATTTGACGATAAGGTAATAATAATAATAATAATAATAATTTAACTTAAAAATTAATTAAAAAATTTTGATTAGAAAGTTTTGAGGTATACCAGTTTAAAAATTGTTATTTAAGATATTTCCTAAATGGCAGGTATTTACTTAGGAAGCATAGGAATTGAAACGGAACTCATTTTGCGAGTTACTTCGAATTTTAGTGGTCTATATATGTAATTAGAATATACATTATATTATTATTTTTAATTCCACTTAATTATAATTATAAGCATACGTGTACTCTTGTAGGGAAAATTGTACGAGTTTGATGATTACACGTGAACGAGACAGGTATGCAAACCGTTACAGGAATCAAAGATCTATCTAACCGGAAAACCTTAACGCTCCACTGTAATTATTTGAACTATTACTCATCCAGATTTATGACCATTTGCAGGATGTTCTAAATATACCTAACTACGTCGAAATCTTTTATGGGATAATAACGCTTCTATTTTACAGTAACAAGGTCTAGAAATTATATGGTAATGTGATTTTGGAACGTGGAGTGGTTCAAGGACACCGGTCAGATGAACACATTCGAATAGGTCAGTGACCTAGCGACGTTACCGTTATTAACCGTTCGATCAGCGTATGGGCCATTCCACGCCTAATCGATCACTTTTGTACTCAATCTTTGGAATGTTGTTGAAACTGAACTATGCTATAGTCCAAGCGAAGATATAATCATTAATTTGATGATTTAAAAGTTATACAAAATCATACTTGCTATCTTCGACACTTCGAAACAGTGAATTAATTGTTTTTTTCATTTTCATTTCTCGTAAATAATAATAACTTGGCAACGTGACTATTATACAATTTTTTCTTAATTAATTAGAACAATACCTATAAACTCAAATGAACTTATGCGTTTTTAAGATGTCCGTTACAACAACTGTTTTTCGATAACACTATTCGTGGATAGAAAATAAAATAATACTAAAATAACAAAATAAATATTGATATTTGTTAATGATAATATATTTGTATACAGTGTACGTACTCTTGATGAGGATTTCCAGATTCGCAAAGGATAGCAACGCGTTCACCGCTCAGCCTTTGATAACGAGAATCAGTACCATTCTCTATCTTATTGTCATTAGCACCGTCCATTACTTGATCAGCTCTACGTCTTTCCACCACGCAAGAAACTCTGCTACGTGCCTCTTGGATCAAAGTCTGAAAAAATCGAAACATTACAATTCTTTAAATCGACATATGAGATCTCGACTTTACCAATTAATAAATCTCGTTAACTATCATCAATGTCCATTTATTTACCCACTCATTGATAAATTTTGTAGAAAGAAAATCAATAAAGTGAAAAGCAGTTTTATAAATGAAATAGTATCGAAATTTATTTATTTAACATTTCATATTTATATCGTCTAATATTTTAAAGCCCTCCTAATCGTACAATAATTAATATTTTTGCTTTGTTTTCTAAAACTATAATTAACCCTTTGACTACGGCAGACTTTGAGACGCATCAACCGTACCAATTCCGATAAGAATTCAGTCGCGACGTACACCGAGAACAGCGAAGCATTTCCTTAGGTGCGCATTTCTGAGGAAGTATATTCAAATAATCGAAACACTGAATTCCACTACATTAAAACAATATTATATATTTATTTGTGTTCTACTTTGAATTATTAGTGTATATACTAAAAGTTTAACATTGACATTAATGTTTTTTTCACGATATATCTAAGAATCTATTGAAGCAATATTTTTAAACGCCTATAGGTACCTACAGTGCCATGAGAACAATATTTTTAAGCGCCTACAGGCGCCTACAGTAGTCAAAGGGTTAGAGTAGATGACATAATTTAATTGATTATAGATCGTAAAGGTATCAATGAACTTACGCCTGCGATATCGTCGAAATTAAACTGCAGGGGCAGTTTAATGTGCATCGGAGGGAACTCGTCGTCATCGTAGTCATCTTCATCATCGTCATGGTCGCTGCTCTCGCTGTCCGACTTCGAATTATTTTCATCTTCTTTTTGGAGTTTAATATCCTTGGTATCTGGCTCAGGCTCCTTCGTTGGCGCCTGTTCAACTAAAGTCTGTTGTGCCTCCTTCGTCTCACTCGTGTCCTGCACAAATAACAATTCAAATTAACAATTATAAATATTCGTTATCCTTGATTTTGCTTCTTGAATGTGAACCATCAAAACTCTCAAATTAATCATAACAAACACGATGGCATGTTGAACAATGAGTACAATGAAAACTCGTTCACTGTTCTTATACCTTTATTCCAATAAATCGCATTAGAAAAAATAAAATAAGAACAAAACTTGTTTCTCTAACTGAAAGTTCACATTAAATTAAAACCTATTTAAAATAACTCAATAAATCAATATAAGTTAAATATCTAAAAAACTAAAGTTTCTAGGATTTTTTTCATAATGACAATGCAACCGATAAACGTATACATCACGTTTGCATTTATAGTTGAATCTTTTTTAATGCGGTGCACGTCTTATTGAAGGAGAAAGTTCCTCGATGGTAAAACGTTTGAATAGTGGTATAGTTCAACGTTGGTGCAGTGTGCATGGTTTATTTACAACTGCCGCTGGAAAGTCAAAAGGGAAATTAGGATCTCATTCCCGTTGAATTAATAACCCATGGAAGGGAGCATTACCGCCGTATCACCTCGCGGATCGCAGAATTTACGAGTGGCCAGCGAATCTTTCTGCACTTATGGCATTCTCAAATATATAAAATGCAAAGAAACTTTCACATTAACATATGTACGTTAAAAATATCTCCGTTTTATTCTTACCATAAGGAACCGTTTTAATGTCGAAACAAATTGTTCCTTCGTTCTCGATTTTACTCAATAATCTACGAATGCATAAATTGCGGAACAGGTCCATTTTCCTACGTAACAGCTTCGTAGGCAGGTAACACTGACTGTTCGTCGAGGTAAGGTAAAAACGAAAATTACTGGAAGCATTCACGCTTTAGAACAACAAAATATTATTATATTTCCTTGGAAGAGAAGAAGAATTAATGGGAAGCTTAGTATAGATTACATAGTAACAAAATGGCACAAACTTGAGACAAAACAGAATATACGGAAAAATGTTTGCAATTTGACCTGTTAATATAAAATATTTATTATTCATTATTTAAATAGAAGTTCATGTTCTTTTGTTATCTGCCATACAATAATTTCTCCCTGAATTTCACTATCACTTCAACTACTTACGTACAATAATACTTTATACTTCTAGAAGCATAAATATTCAGTACATTTCTCGTGAATACTAAAGCAGTACTATTTTAGTAGGTACCAAAGTAGCACTAAATTTCTAAAGTTGTGTCCAAGAATCACAGTACACTTGATTTGCCGACTTATTGCTCGCGTTTAAATGGTAAATTCAACGCGCCGTGAAAGAGCAAGAAACGGTAAGAGCGTGATAAAATAGTACAATTTTAGTGGGTAACAAAGTAGCATTAAATTTCTAGAGTTACATCTAAAAATCGGTGACTCGTTGCTCGCATTCGATTTCCATCGTTTCGTCGGTGGCTTATGGCGCGATAACGTAAAGAGAGTTCACTTTCACTCGCGACCCGATGTCGCGACCAGGAAGACGGGTTGCATCAACGGATGATTGCCGCGGCGATATCTCCTCCGTCGATTCGAGGCCTCGGGGAGCATCGTTCGGCCGCGTCTTCGGATTTATCGCCGTTTTCTCCTTAGAACTAGGAAGAGATCCTCCGATAGAACGGCGATTCAACTTCGGTACAGTTCGTGAACAACTCGTACGCTGCGATCATCGCACTCCTTTAAATCGCGTTTAAATCATTTGCACCATTGGCGTGTATATATGGTTTCAAACTAAAATGTTAATGAATAATGCAATCAATATTATTACATTATATATTAATAATATATTAATAATATTAATAACATATTCATTATATTAATAATATTAATGAATATTAATTTTTATTATATTATATATAGAAATATGTAATATTATCATTATTGTTGTTGTTATTGTTACTGTCAATCACTACATTATTATAATTCTATACTTGCTTCTACGCTTTAATCACTCAAATAAAAAAAAGAAATTTGTAGATAATGAAGTACTTATTATTCTGTCGTATAATATAAATGGCATAACTCCTTAATTACCGAATTTTCTCGGTGAACAGACCTACTCACGAACATCAAATCCAGTACTAATCTCGTTCCCATTCGCTTATGAATATAAAATCGATGCCATTCGATTCTTAGTAACAGAAGCTTTTCGTTTCACAGACAAACTAAACCGTACTCCTGAATTTAAAGTAATTAACAATCTTCAATATAATTTTTCGTTTGCCTCGACGTAGTTCCGCAAAGAGTCATAATTTTCATATCATAATTTTCTTTGGTATACAGCTTACAATGCTCAAACTCCATGTACTACCTTTCAATTGCATGGCAATGTACAATCATTGAAACTATGTATAGCTCACGTTGCTGTTTATGTTTTGGCATTGATTTATAATTTGCTAGCGGCCTGAAAAATTCACTGTAGCACTGTAGGGTTAATTACCGATGATAATAAACAATAATGACCAAGCTAGGCGACACGCTCCACTTAACGACACCTGCGAAACGACAACCACAACGCGACGCTCGATGTTCATCAGGTGGCCTTGTTGCCAATATTCACAGCGAAATCTACATGTCACAGTATACTTTGACAGCCAGGTTTCTGCAATAACAGATTTACACTCAGGAAGGTCCCCTTGCCTCTGTGCACTTTTAGTTTGGTAGCCGATGAAGCTAACGTAAGAGGCGTATAGTATATACAGTTTGTACACGAGTCGCTCAGAAACTAAAGCAGTTGAGTGCATTTTTTTATATTTTCTGTTATTTGTAAATTTTAATGGAATGTGATTTGTACGAAGCTTCAGGCGATGATTTTGAATTCCTAAGAAACATTCGAAATAAAATATGTTTCCATCGGATTATATGTTATTCTTAGTGTTTACTTTACTTTTCACATTAAAGAATCTGTTCGTGTTAACGATATTTTTTTGGCCTTGACTAGAAAGAGAGCAGCATTGAAGATGTAGGAGAGCTGCATGCGGCTCGCGGAGCCGCAGTTTGGCCAAATATGCTATATACAGTTGGCCACGTCTACATTTATCCAGCTCCATCAAGCTAAAAGTGCTCAAGGGCGAGGGGACTCGGTCGCACGCTCCCCCTCGGTCCTTCCAGGAAACAGAACTCCGGTCCCTGTGTTACCGTGATTTCGTAAACATGAGAAGCCAGCGAAACGAAATCCGACAATAATGTTCGTTATATCTCACTACGTTGCATTCTATCCTGTCTGCTTTCTTCGTCACGCGACTCGGCCAATAACACCAACTGTTGTTCTATAGCTACTGACGCGACATCCTGAATGGAAGAGTCCCCTTGCTCCTGTGCACTTTTAGTTCAATGGAGCCCGGCAGGGACGTGATGGGCCAACTGTACTTATAAACTTTCATAACGTAACATTTAATTTTATAAACAATTTTTCAAAACATTAGCACGCCAAGACTAGATTTTCTCTAAAGGAGAGCGTAGTAACATTTTGGAAAGCATTGCTCTAAAAACTTATAACATTCTTGTGTTTTTTTCTTTCGTTGTTTAATATCGCATCGACTTCTCGGTCATTAGCGACATGCTTATCTAGTTGTTAGATTTCCTTCCACAGACCCATTGTTTTGAAAAATTCTATCAGCTTGTTTCTGTTGTTTCGAGTTATTCCGATTTGAAGATTTGCTATATTTGGTTTGGTACTTTGACCTTGCTGCGGTGAGTTTCCATTTCCGTACATTCTATCAACAAATGTTTTATTGTTAGTCATTTGTTGCATGTATCACACTAGACTAGGTTTTTTGAATATTAGATGTTAGTGTGTTGACCTAGTGTGTCCAATTACTGTTCCATGTCATTTTCTCTGGTCTTGTCTCTTTTCTGGGAGTTTCTATGAGTGTAGGTTTACTTCTTGGTTTAAGTAGTGTATTCAGTCAGAGTTTTCTATGGTCCATTTATTTTTCCATTTCTCGTATGTTATTCTTTCGGTCTGTTTCTTTATGTCTTTAACTGGAACTTTTATGTCTCTATTTATCTGTATCATGGTGGCCTCGTTTGCTGCTTTGTCTGTTATATCGTTTCCATTGATTCCGTGGTGTGCTAGAACCCAGGCGAAGGTTACCTTATAGTTGTCGTTATATAATTCTGTAGTCAGTTGAATAATGTTAGTGATAATCTCATTTTCCATGGTCATTTTCTGGATTGATAAGATTACCCTCATCGAGTCAGTAAACATTATGCTATTGGTTGTTTGTTGGTTTTTTATTGTTTTTAAAGCTTGTACAATTACTATTGCTTCTGCATTAGATATACCGGTCATGTGGTTGATATTTATTTTTTGTATCGTTTAGCGTTACCTATCTTGTTGCTTGTTTTGGAAGCGTCTGTATAAATCTTATATGTTTCTCCGTAGTTATGGATTAAGTCTTCAAATTTTGTTTTATTACTGCTAGGCTTGGAGCCTTTTTTATTGTTTTTGCGGTCTATCATGTTTATATTGATGTTTTTCTCCACTATTTGTTGAACGCATACTTTCATAAAGCAAACGCATTGAAAGCAACGAAAGAGAATCCTTAAACTGGTAGCAAATGGTGCATTTACCTCCGACCAATTCGATTTCGCGTTAAAGCAACGATCCGCGGTTAGGCTACCCGATTGGATGATCTTTGGCCGAGCCAGTAAACAAGGAAGAAATGCGGAACGCATTATTTGGTAAACGTGGGTAGGAAGGAAGTTCCAAGTGGCTCGGCACTTTCGAGAATCCAGCAAGCCGCGATCGGTCAGCAGGAAACCAATAACGTGCAAGAAACGTTCATTGCATCAGGTTCTGGGTGAGCACAAACGATCCTAGCGTTTCCGTCTGCTGGCTACCGCCGAGGAAACTTACTTCATACAAAGTGACAACTTTCTACTGGGAATATCGGTGAACGTAAGGAAAGGTGGAACGGCTCGGTCTACCAGCTTCTGGTTTTCGCAATTCTAGACTGGCCGTCGCAAACTTCG